GTACCTTCCCCGGAAGAGAACAACATGGTTCATGCAGAGGGGTTTTTGAACGTATACACGTACCCCTTTGCGTTGGGCCCTCTCGATAGAGTTGCGCTTGGTTTCTGTCGAAGATATTGGGCTACCCTGGCACAAGTTCACCCATTGTTCTGGAGGATAGTATTGATGATGAGGTTCTTTGCGGAGGGAGCTGGGCTTGAGTTCACCCTTAGCCATATCATCAGATTGTACCGGCCCTTTCATTACCGAGGCCTGATTTCTTTACGATGTCGATCCGCAAGGCCCTCTGTCGCCGATAATGAATAAGATGGAGACCGAGGATGGGTTAATCGATTTGTCCAAGTACGGACTGTCGATATTATCCTCATGGAGTTCCTGCCATTTCTTGAGAAATGGAATTTCATACGTAGGTGGTACACTTGTGCGTTTATCATTTTTGTTCATGGTAGAGGTAGACTCCGTAAAGATGTTTTCCTTCTCTTTTCTTCAGCAATCCCGTGGCTGCCACATGAGGTTCCGACTGGAAGACCGGACTCGGGAATTAGTGGTTTATTCGACTTATAATGAGCGTAAGTGGCGAGATCTGTCCACGGGTGGATGGGAGGCAAAACACCACGGTACGTGGCATGTAGTTTGTTTTCTTTGAAAAGAACTTTCTTTTATGTGTATTAACTCCATCACCAGAGGTACTGGAGAATTTTCCAAGACGAGACCGTGTCCCTTTGGGGAGGAGGAAGGATCGTTGGCTTCGGGGACGAGGAACGATACCAAGCGGAAGGAACCCTTGAAGGATGAGGGTGCTCATAGTGAGGCAAGACCTGCCCGGAGGCTCAAAGAAGATGTATCGGCCGAGCCTACAGCACCTGGGGCTTTCGTCCCCAAAAGAATGGTTCCCCCTCTGCCGCAGCCTCTGTTCCTGTCGAAGGTACTTCGAGGGGTACAGGGGTTCTGTCATTATCTTCATCTACTATCGAAGGTACTTCGAGAGATGTTCGAGGCCTGGGGCCACCTAAGCCGGGCAGGGTTTCGGGTGATCGTATTTCCATCGGGAGTGGTTCTACTAGGGTCGATGAGACCAGGACAGTATGCGCTCAACCTTTGTGGAAGCTCAGAGGCTCAGTCTTGTAGTGAGTTTTGATCAGCTGTTTTGGCTCTTCAGTTTTGCACCTTTTTATATTATTATATTTATTTTTATTTTTATTTTTATTTTTATTGTTATTTTTTTTATTGAGCTTCTTTTTCATACGCCATTGGTAAGCTCAAGTCCGAGCTGCTTCGCCGTGAATCTATGTTGAGGAGAGCCTTGGATGGGGAGAAATCCCTCAGGATTCTTTGTGATAAAAAGGGGAGATGAGTTGGTATACCTGTGGTACGAGGCAAATCAGAGTCTGAACAACGAAAGCCATCTTGAGAGACAGGTAACCTTTGCTCTGAGTCAATACAAGCTCCTTCTTCTATCCTTGGAGATTAATGTTTTGATGTTTCAGTTGCAGAGCAAGACAGAGGGTCTGGAGCGCCTTTTGGGCGAGGTTGGCCAAGCCAGGTATGAGTGTAAAGGTCTAAGGGCTCAGATAGGTGCCCATGTTGCAGCCATGAAGGATGCCTTGGCCAAGGTTTCTGCCCTCGAGGCGCAGCTGCGAAACACCTGTGGGAACAGCTCGGTTCAGACGAGAAGGATTGCAAGGCTTGAGTCCAACTTTTTTGAGATGAAGGACTAGGTCGTGGATGCCCGGGCTGAAGTTGAAGGGATTCGGGCTAGGGCCGATAAGAAAGTGGTCGTCTATTTGAAAGACGCCGCCGAAGCTCGGGCTAAGCTGAGAGGGGCTTCTGATCGAGAGAGCAAAAGCAATGAATATGCTCGGTGTAGATCTCGGAGAGGAACCCTTGAAGAGATTAACACTATGGGCTTCGATCTATCGTAAGAGATAGCACAAGCCAAGGCAGATGAATACGATGCCAAATTCCTCGTATCTGATGCCGAAGATAATGGAGAAGAGGCCGACGGGGCCGCAGTCCCCGAGGGGAAAATAGGCTTGGCTTTTCCTTTTTGATTCTTTGTACATTGTTCTCAGTGAACTTTGTAAATGTAGCTTTGCATTGTTTCATACGTGCGTATATGTAAAGAAACATTTCGGTTTTCTCTTTCGATGAATTTCTATTTGCTTGCGTATGTCTTTATTTTATCCATTTGTCGATGATTGGCCAGGTGAACTGGACTTCGAGTAATGACCCTCAGGTGTATAATTCAGCTCTGAGGCTCGTTTGGCTGGCCCGTAGGCTTTTGCGCATTTGGTCGGTACAACCTCTGATCTAAGCTGGCGACAAGGGCTATTATGCATTTAGGTCGATACGACCTTTAGTTTAAGCTGGCGGTAGTGGTTCTTACGCGTTAGGTAGGTACGACCTTTTAATTTAGGCTGGCGACAGTGGCTCTTACGTATTTGTCTTTAGGCGATTTTAGTTAACTATTTCAGGCTTTGTCTCCAATCGTATTTCGACTCGAGCTCATTGACCCTCAAGTTTTTGAATTTCAAGCCGGCCCTTAGGCTCTTACGCATTGGTTCGGTACAACCTCTAATATGGGCTGGAGGCATTAGCTCTTACGCATTGGGTCGGTACGGCCTCTAATATGGGCTGGCAGCATTGGCTCTTACGCATTGGGTCGGTACGACCTCTAATATGGGCTGGAGGCAATGGCTCTTACGCATTGGGTCGGTACGACATTTAATATAGGCTTTATTTTCCCTCGTTAAAGATTTTTTGAAGTTTTGTGTTCGCTCGACTCTTCGACGGGTCGATAAGAGCCTCGATTGCGAGCCGTTATGTAGCGAAGAATGAGCATCTCGGGAGGTTTCGCACGATGGGTGAATTGTTTCGAAGCCTATTATTTGGAGCTGGCATCATCGAAGCTCTTTTTCTTATGCCGAGGGTAGCCTGATTAACCGATTCTTTTCGAGGTAATTGAAGGCCTGTGATTTTATAGCGACGGTCGGGCGTTCCCGAGTCCCGTTAGTTTGGCTGCTGCAGCCTTGTGACCGTTGTCATTGTATTTGGCCGTAGACTTTCAGTCCCTGAGTGAAGTAGCTTCGGCGTCTATATCAAGGGCATGCCTTTTTAGGGGTCTTACAAGTTCGAATATATAGCCTTATCTTTAAGATCGGGTTTATGCCTTTTGTAAGGTCTTATAAATTTGAACATGCCTTATTTGAGGTCTTACAAATAGGTTACTTGGCACAAATATGATTCATGCCTGGCTTGAGGTCTTACAGATAGGTTACTTGGTACAAGTATAATTCATGCTAGCTCGAGGTCTTACAGATTTGGCATTGCCTTATGGAGGTTTTACACTGCTGATAGTGCCTCGTGGAGGTCTTACATTTTCTTATATTGCCACGTGGAGGGCTTTCGGGCTCGAGGTCACCCGCATGGGGTCTTATGGCCTCGGGTTCTTGATACCTCGATGGGGTGACCGCCGGCGACAGTCCCCGAGATGTCGAGGGTTTTTGGCGCTGGAGCCGTTCTTTTTATATTTTGATGTTGCTTTATTGAGGGCTTATGAACTCGAACTTTTCCGGCCCAGAGGTCTTACGTCTTCGTGTTTTTGATGTCAGTCCCCGAGTGGTCGGGACATTTTTGGCTCTAGATCCGTATTTGTAAAAAATACCGAACTTCTTTGAAACGCAAAATGCTTTGATGGAGTGGAAAGTATTGTTTGATTACTTGGTACAAGTATACACGTTTTTGGTGTCAAGGGCGCGGTTATTCTATACGGACAGGGTTTGTTCGACCGTTTGGCCCGGTACATCGTTTTCCTATCGAGACCCTTTTTGGCATATCTTGACTTCTCTGAGGAGGTGACCTCCCGGGGAGATGCCCCCCCAGTATTCGAGGTTGATTGAAGAGAAGCCTTGATACTTGTTGAGTCTTCCTTAGATAGCATATAGATGTTGCCCCGTTAAAAACCTTGTCGGTAAAAACCCTTCTGGGGTTAAAACCCGATCGGAGGAAAAGAGTGCAACGTGTGCCTTGAAACCTTAAGGTTAAGTAAGTAAAGGGAGGTCTAGAGAGAGAGACTCTGGCGATTTTACGTGCAATTAGAGAGAGAAAGCTTGCGCAGCCCTTCCATGGCCAATCCGGCCGGTGGCCAGCCACCTACTGTGGCTGGGCTACCTCCCCAACCAGCCCCCCAACATCACTCAACCCTCCACAACAACAAATAACACCCCACAACCCATGAATTATGCTAACGCTGTGAAGCCATCGTCGAACCCTACTACCATGCATGAACACAATGTAACAGTTGATCCTATACCTCTTCGACGTGCCCAATTATTTCAAGGACAACCAACTGTTTGCTCTACTGAGGATGAAGTTGAATGTATGAATGTCATAGAAGGATTGCAATATGAAGTCGTGTGCAAATTTTCTTATGGATGGCCTGAACTTAATGAGATACATTGCATTGGTCCTATTCAATGTGGCATTAAAGGTGAATGCAATATTGTATACTTACGTGATAGGCATGTGTTGATTAGGTTCACTTTATGGCAAGATTTTATTAATTTTTCATCGAAAGGTGTTTACTATGTCAAAGATAAGTATGGGGAGGAGTATCAGTTGAGAACACTGATTTATGATGCTAAATTCAAGGCAGGAGAAGAAAAACCTATGGTAATGGCTTGGATCTCATTCCCAAACCTATTACCTACTTATTTTGTTAAGGAATGCTTGTTTCCTTAGCCTCAGTTGTGGGCAAACCGTTGCACCTTGATCAGGCAACTGTGAATAAGACTAGACCTAGCTGTGCACGTGTGAAGGTGTTAGTTGATTTATTAGCTGATCTTCCTAAGAAGGTGAGGATGGATATAGTGAATGAAGCTTCTGGGGACATAAGAACTGAGTGGGTAAGCATCAACTATGATTACCTACCTAAGTACTGTAAGTAATGCAAATTACAAGGTCATGATATGATGGAATGTTGGAGAATTCATCCTGAACTTATGGCTAATAATAATGAGGAGAATCAGACAGTTTCTGATAGTGGAGTGCAGGGTAATAAAGAAAATGCTAAGAATAATGCTCCCTTGAAAATTCTTTCAAGTGGTAGAATTGTGGGCAATGTAGGTGCACAATGGAAAGAGGTGGGGGACAAACGTGTTCAAGGCAAAGGCAAACAGGTTGAAGAAGTAACCAAGACTGGGCAAGAAATTGTTCCAGGTGAGAAACAAAATATAGGTGTGCCTCGGCAGGTGCAAACAAATAATAAATTCGATGTTTTGGAGATTGATAACAGTGAAGATAATACAAATAATCAGCTGGCTTTGGTAGAGGAACAAACTGATCAAACTAATATGCCCAAGCCAAAGGATCATGGTAAGTTGAATCTTGCAGCAGCAAATTTTATTTCCAAGTACCCTGGGACTGATAAGGGAGGAAAAGAAGGAAAAAAGAAATTACATGTGACGCCAGCTGCTAGTTCTACTCCGGGAGTGACCAACAAACAAAGAAATAGAGAAGATACAGGAAGTAATAGAAAAAGGGAAGCTGATCAACAAAATAAAGAGTCTACAGCAGCATGGGTTTAAAGGACTTTTAAAGACAATGTTGTTGCAACAAACACATCAGTGCAAGAGGTACCTACTCAAGATACTAGAGTGGATGCAAATTTAGCTAACAATGTGGATAATGATAACATTGTGGACACAGAGTTTGAAATATTCCAAAGCAATGAAAAAGTTAAGTGGACTAGAGGTAGATTATGGGAAGATCAAACAGAAGAAGATGAAGAGGAGGGAGAGATCCCAGATGGAATACAAAGTGAGGAGGAAATTGGAGGGGATTCAGTGGAGGATGAGGATCAAACTGTAAATGGTAAAGCTAAGGGTACAGGAACTTCTGTAGATCAGAGCTTAAACAACAAGGAAATTCATGCCAATGATCAGCAAAACAGCAACAGGAATCAGAATAACAAGGAAGGTCATAAGTCTGAAGCATGTCTCAAGGAACAGGAAAATATCAAAGGGAATCAGCACAGGCATAAGGACATTTCTGCTGAATCAGTAGAAGTTCAAGAGGGGAACACTGATAATATTGATCCAGGAGGGACTGTACAAACTGCAGGTGTTAGTAATGTAAATGCCAATACTAAGGAGGCTGAAATAGCAAATGACAAGAAAAAACGAAAATTGCAGGAGTCAAATGGAATTACTGTTCTATTGAATTCTGCACAGCTGCAGACCAGTAACATGCAGAGTGACCAAGATGTTCTCCCCATTTCACAAGCTAATATTGTGGTGCCACAAAGGACTATGGAGGTAGAGGAGCAGCTAGGTCATGCAAAGAAAACAGGAAGGGACATGGATGAGGAATCATCTATCCAAAACATCCTCAATGTTGCCAAGCAAGGGGATCTTTCACCTAGGCATATTGAACAGGTCAAATCTGCAGCCAAAGGTAGAAGAAAACAAACAAAAGAGACTTCAAATGCAACAGTAGGAGGAGTTCAAACCAGGAGAACACTTTCCAAAAATCAAAATCACTAATGGATGCCATGATCTGGAATGTAAGGTCAATGAATACTATGCAAGCATTTGAGAGGTTGATCACAATGCACAGGCTACATCATTTTGAATTCATTCGAATTTTAGAGCCTATGAAACAATCTAATAAAGTGGAAAGATATAGGGCAAGAATAGGTATGGCTCAGGCTGTGGTGAATGTCTCAAATAAGATATGCGCATTTATTGATGAAGTGTTTGAGGTTACAATTCTTTATAACATGGTGGAACAATTGACTTTGAAGCTGTTTCATACTGAAACTCATGTAGAGATCATTCTCACATTGGTTTATGCCAAATGTGATGCATTTGAAAGGATAGAACTATGGGACACCCTGTATGCTATGGCTACTGATATGATATCTCCTTGGTTGGTGGGAGGTAATTTTTTTTACTGTTATCTGGGATGAGGAGTAAAAATTTGGTGGACTGCCTGTGCATATAAATGAGGTGGATGATTTCAGGCACTGCATCAACACCTGTAATCTTTCAGACTTCGGATTTAAGGGGAGCATATTTACTTGGTGGAATGGAAGATCAGAAGATGACTGCATATTTAAAAGGCTGGACAAGTGTTTGGGAAACATGGAACTGCAGCAAACCTTTCCAGGGTTGGAAGTTACACATCTGTCCAAGATTGGATCAGACCACTGCCCCATGCTGTTGAAGTGTGATATAGAAGCCCCTCCCATTAAGAAACCATTCAGGTTTCTAAATTTTTGGACAAAACATGACACTTTCAAATCAGTGGTGAAGGAGAATTGGACAGCAGACTTTAGTGCCAACCCCTTTGTACTGTTCAATCACAAGCTGAAGAAATTAAAGAAGGCTCTCTCAATATGGAGTAAGGCAACTTTTGGTGATATTTTTCAGAAGATTGCAAGCTTAGAAGAGGTGGTCTTGGTGCATGAGAGGCAATTTGAAGCATTCCCTACTAAGATGAATAGAGAAAGGCTGCAGAGGGTACAAGCAGAAATGATCAGATATCTGGCATTAGAAGAGGAGTTTTGGAAACAAAAAGCAGGGATGCAATGGTTAGTGGATGGGGAAAGAAATACTAAATTCTTTCATGTTCAGGTGAAAGGCAGAAGGAAAAAGTTACAGCCGAAAAGGATCAAGGACAATATGGATAATTGGATAGAAGATGATGAATAAATTGCAGAAGAAGCTATCAGATTCTATAAGGATCAATTCACCGAGACAACAGTTCCTAATAATTTCCACATCATAGAACATGTACCAAGACTAGTCGAAAGTGAACAGAATGAAAATTTGATAGCAACACCTACAAGGGAAGAAGTGAAGAGGGCAATATATGGTTTAAATGCAGACTCAGCATGTGGTCCAGATGGATATACTGGAGCTTTCTACCATGCTTGTTGGGATATAATAGGAGAGGATGTTTATACAATGGTCCTAGCCTTTTTCAATGGTCAACAATTGCCAAAGTGTGTTACACACAGTAATCTGATACTTTTACCAAAGAAAAAGGAGGTGAATACTTTCTCTGCTCTGCGACCAATTAGTCTCAGTAACTTCATTAAAAAAATCTTTTCGAGGGTGATTCATGAAATATTGGTGGAGCTACTGCCTAATTTGATCTCAGAGGAACAAGCAGGCTTTGTGAAGGAAAGGAGTATAGTTGAAAATGTGTTACTAACTCAGCAGATTATTACAGATATGAGGCTCTGAACAAAAGCAGGTCCTAATGTAGTAATCAAGCTTAATATGACAAAGGCCTATGACAGGCTTTCATGGCTATTTCTGACCAAAATGCTGAGAAAGTTTGGCTTTTGTGAAAGGTTCATTGGGATGGTTTATGACTTGGTAGGGAATAACTAGTATTCTGTCCTTGTCAATGGGCAATCTCATGGCTATTTTAAATCATCGAGGGGTGTCAAGCAGGGAGATCCACTATCACCAACTCTATTTATTTTAGCTGCTGAAGCTCTATCAAGAGGACTGAATTCACTGCACTCCAATCTATATTTCTGTGGATTTGGTCTTCCTAAATGGAGTCCCAAGATCAATCATTTGGCATATGCAGATGATACCATCATCTTTTCATCCTCATATGCCACATCATTAAGGTTAGTGATGGAAATTTTATACTTGTATGAGGCTGCTTCTGGCCAGCTAGTTAACAAAAGCAAGTCTGCCATTTATATGCACCATTCAGTTGACTTGGAGGTAGTCAAGAAGGTGGAGCGGGTAACATGGATTGGAAGGAAAGAATTTCCTTTCACATACCTAGGTTGTCCCATTTTTTATGTAAGAAGAAAGCTGGAGTATTATCAGCCTATGATCAATAAGGTGCTAGATAAGCTGCAGGCTTGGAAGGGGAAATTACTATCCATAGGGGGCAGGGCAGTGCTGATCGCTAATTTCCTTCAAAGCATATCAATACATCTGCTATCAGCTGTAAACCCCCCTAAAAATGTTATTAACAAGTTACACAAAATCTTTGCTCAGTTCTTTTGGAGTACCTCTGTTGGAGGATCAAGTAGACATTCGGCTTCATGGAATACTCTTTGTATGCCATGTGAGGAAGGAGGAATTGGATTCAGATCATTACATGATATATCAAAAGCTCTCTTTTGCAAACTATGGTGGAAATTTAGGCCCAATCCTAGCCTTCGGAGTTCATTTGTGAGCCAAAAGTATTGCAAAAAACTGAATGCAGTAGTTGTGCCTTGGAGGAGGAATGGATCCCATGTGTGGAGGAAAATGTCAGAATATAGGGAATTGATTGAGCAGCAGATCTTTTGGAGAACAAAAATGGGATCTGCACTTTTTTGGTATGATAATTGGACTAAACTAGGAGCTTTGTATTTCTTAGTTCCTCCTGATTTTGGTGTGGATGAAGAAGTACACAATGTGTATGAATTGGTGGAGCAGGGATCTTGGAATGTAGATAGATTGATGGAGCTGTTACCTGAAGAATTGGCATTGCATATAGTTGAAAAAATTAGACCTCCTGTAATGGATAATGTCCTGGACACTCCAGTGTGGATGCTTGAAACTAAAGGCCATTTCTCTATAAAGTCAGCATGGGAATATCTTAGAAGAAGGGATAATCATAGAATAGCTTATAGGATGATTTGGGTATAAGGATTGCCATTCAAAATTTCATTCTTTATGTGGAAAGTATGGAGAAAATTGCCCCTTGATGATTTCATGCGTAGGTTGGGATATCATATACCATCGAGGTGTTGGTGCTGTGCTGAGCCAAAGGAGGAAACTCTAGTACTTCTCTTTTTCACATCAAAAGCTGAAACAATCGTGTGGAAATACTTCCTAGCAAGAGCAGGTATTGCAGTCCAAGATCTGACTTTTTATCAAGAAATTACCAAATGTTAGACTGCCCAGGTACTGCCTAGATTGAAACCAATAATGCAGGCTCTTCCATCATGTATAGTTTGGGAATTATGGAAGAGAAGGAATAGTTTGAAATATGGTGATGCAGTTTTAGTTAGTAGAGTCATATACCAAGTATCAAATACACTAAGGGCCTTACTGCAACTTAGAAAACCAGGTATTCATGTGCCACATAAATGGCAGGATTTATTGAGCATGCTGCAAAACTATACTCCTCGACTGAAGTATGAGAAGGTACTTTGGGAATTCCCTTTGGAAGGGTGGATTAAAGTTAATACCGATGGGGCCTCTAGAGGGAACCCAGGGAGGAGCTCGATTGGATTTTGTATGAGGGATGAGCATGAGGAGTTAAAATATGCATAGGGAAGAGAGATTGCTGAGGGATCCAATAATGAAGCAGAGGCAACAGCAATAGTTAAAGCACTGAGGCTTTGCGGAGCTCAACAGTATTCTCATGTATGGCTTCAAACAGACTTAATGTTGTTGAAGAACATAATAGAGGAGAATTGGAAACCACCTTGGTGTATCACTTATCAAGTGGAGGAGATCAAGAGGTTAATGGTGTAATTCAACATAAGGATATCACATATATATAGAGAGGGGAATAAATTGACTGATCACTTGACAAATTATGCCGTTGATGTTGGAAACATAAAATGCTGTGAATTCTGGGATCTAGATACTAAAGGCTGGAGGATATTGACTGGAGATAAGAGGCAATGCCCATATTTATGTGTAAAAGTTGCAAGAAATTAGAAGGAGGAGGAGAGGAGATGAGGAAGGACATGAAAAGGTCACACCATGTTCAAATCTATATAGAGGAGAACATGGTATCAGTTTTTTCACTAACTGTGTGTTATGTTTTGCAGGTACTGAATATGTGCTATTGTTGTATGCTTTAATGAAAGTCCAATTGGTGGTATCAATGCCTGGCCTTCAACCCAATGGACTGGCATTACAGATAGGCAATAGTACAGTAGCTGGTAATTTCATCATGCAGGAATATAGCTGGAAACTAGGGCCCAAAATGCTTAAGAGAAGTGGGCAAATTCAGGTACATTTAGTAGAAAAGGGTGGTGGTTATATCAGCATAACAACAGTAGCAATCACTCAACCCAAACAAGCAAGAAAAGTGGAGGAAAAGATGCCCAGAAAGTCTAAGAGAACTGGGCATCAGATGAGGAGGTTTTTAATCACAAGAAGGGAACAATTCAAGAGGATCTAGGAGAATGGAGAGAGGTAAATTTGGATACAGGGAGCCTGGAAAGTGCTGGTATAGATCAGTATGTAGGGAGCATGTATGAGGTAGTAATAAGGGTTCAAAAGCAGATGGAGAGACAGTTAGAAAAATGCACAAGTCTGCAGCAAAACGTTCAACTTGACAGGGAATTCTGCTGCATATTTTTTGGGAACATGGAGGAAAGGAAGATAAAGATCACAGAATGGGAGATCAAGGTCAGTTATAGGGGGATCATAACAGTTAGAAAGGAAAGAGGAGATGAGGAGACAAGGAATAGGATAAGGGGTTTAGGGAATGATCTGGGCAGCAGGAATTGTCAAAATCATCAAATCCAATTGGAGGAGATGATTTTGACAAGATTTTTATC